CGCTTACGGGTTGGACCCTGGTTGTCTTTGACACTTGCCCTGAGGACTTTCCCACGCGCCTTTACATTGTTAGTAGATCCTCTCAGGGTGTTCTGATGATGCACAAATAAGATTATGCCCAGAAAGTTGCATCTGGCTCTATAGTGTAGTGGTTATCACCTCGGATTCTGATTTGCAAATTAGTCTTCCGGTAACCCCAGTTCGAGTCTGGGTAGGGCCTTTCTTTTTGAATGTCTCTCCTCACTTAAGGTAGTTTCCAGAAGTTGGAGCTGATCAAAAGATTTGGCACTGAATGCAGAAACCATTGTTCCAGCAACCAAGGCAGAGCATGAGAAGCTATCAAAGATGTCGGTTTCTGCGTTCGGCGCTAAATCTTTTGATCGGCTTTGAAACCCGCCACAACTCAACCACCACCATGCAGCGGTTCCTACCGGCTCATTTTTGCCGGGGAGGAACGAGGTGTGTTCTACGCCCAGATAGGCTCAAATAACTTATACCTGCTTCGCAGCAAAGGGTTGTTTTTCCAAGACCACGCGTTCGCAAAGATACCCCAAGCAACTAGAGATCGAATCATACTGGCTGCAATGGGTGAGACGTTATATTAACCTCGGAGCTATATTTGACCTATCGCGTGGCCTCGATGAAAGGTAGCCCCGATCCAGACGGTCGTCAGATAGACGGGTCGGTCGTTCGAGCAGTTTAATACACGCAGGATCTAATACACGTGCAGTATGGGAGGAGGCATCTCCTCCCTGTCTAAAGCAGCCATCCTTCATGCACCTGGCGCGGATCACCCGGCAGCAGACTCCCCGAATGCCTTTCCAGGTGTTGCCTGGGCAAATGATCTAGAAAAAGCCCGAGATGGAAAAAGGGGATGGGACGTTGTATATCGATTCTGCCAGGTGAGGTAGCTGTATGCTCATGGTTGGAAATATTCTAAGAGTGCACCAGGTTGGAGTGCGTGAGCCCGAACTGGACTGGGGTTCTACATGCGGCAACCTAGTATCCGCGGCTGCCATGGTACGCTTATTCTTTCTCCTCGCGTCATGGGCCAACACTCGCGCCTAGACTGCAATCAACTGGAACCTCGTCCAAAACAAGTCCGCCCTCTCCTCGCTCCTCGCCCAAGCCCCAGATCTACAATCGACAACTCTCCCCGTCCGCATCCTTGCGGCAAACAATGGCCTAGTCGTCACCGCCAATGTCCCAGTCATGCTAAACCCGTCACTCAAGCAACCAACGCTCATGCCCGTCACTGGCGGCGACGCGATCGTGTCCGGCGTGCCAGGTACTGGCGCTCCTATCATTATCGAAACGCCTATTCTCGGTGCACCGCTACGTACAGGAAACCCGCGGGACGTCATCACGGTAGAGGGAAACGAGGCAAGGTAGCTACTTTCCCCCCGAACACGTGCTAATACTATACACTAGATCGAATGCTCCATAATCGACACCGGTCTGCCCGTTATCTTTGTTCTAGCGACACGCCTTTTCGCTCTTGCGTCATCTTCCCATACGATATCATCCTCTCCCGCCACCCTTGATGCGGACGCGCCCCTCATGTCTCTCATCGAACGCATCCGAGCTGCAGGAGCCGCTCGTGCGCATATACCCCTCTCGAGTGCTGCGCCCAAAGTGTGCCTGGTCGGCCCGCCATCTTCCAAACTGGCTGACTTGGACATCCGGGCAGTGAGTGTGGGGAACATCCACCGGACAGTCCCCGCTACGACCTTGTCGGCTCTAGCGTCTGCGGCAGCTATCCGGGGGACGGTGATCCAGTCTGTGTCTGGATCTCACTCCAGTGGGAAGGTTGCTGGCGTGGGAGACGTAGTTTCGCTCACCGTTGCACATCCTGCGGGAACGGCGAGCGCAAGCGTAAAGGTCGGCCAAGTCGGTGGGGCCGTACAGCCAGAAGCAATTGTCTACACAAGGACGGCCAGGCTATTATTTGAAGGCAGTGTCGCTGTTCCGGAGAGTATCTTTCACGATGTCTAGTGCTCAGACGAAAAGTAAATTTCGAAAAATCACATCGCCAGGATCTAATATAAGTAGCGTACACCCAAAACGAGAGGATATAAGAAAATAACACAGTTAATGATTGAAAGCACAAGGACATCAAAGTCATAATAACATGATATCGTTCAAGGGTTCGTGGTCCCGGAAACTGTTGGTTCAGCAGGAGTCTGGTCGTTTGTGTCACGAGAGCCATGGATAGATGCTTTGGAGGGGGCATGCCTTAGTAAAGTTGAACGAGTAGTTCTAGGATTAGGGGTGGGAACTTTGGTCTGAAGCGTGGATGGCTGAGAGGTTGAGGCAGAAGGACGAATATTGGATTTAGAGGCGACACGGCTAGAAGTCGCAGGTCTGGACCGGGGCAACGGCTTGGAAACGACAGCAGGGGCCGGTCGTTTCGCGGGTACCACTTTAGGTGCTGGTCCAGACGAGCGGGAAGAAGCGGGTAAGCGTGCACGAAGCAACCTCCCAGGGGCGGGGGCACCCTCTTGCGCACCAGCAGGAACGAACTTTCCACCAACGTCCACACGTCGCCTCTTGCTTGGACTTTCTGCATAATCTCCGCCATCCTCACAAACCACAGCCGTGTCTGCTGCCTCTCCCCTATCCTCTTCCGTCTTTCCTCTCTCCTCTGCGCTCCTCCTTGTCCTCTTCACTCTCGTACTCCCACTTTTTTCACGTTCTACTCCTCTCAAGGCGCGTCCCCTTTGCTGGCCGCGCAGTTGCACCTCTGCCGCACGACCCCTCAAAATCCCTCCTCCGTCTCTTCTCCTGCACCCCTCGTTCGCGTCCCACGAGTTCTTGTAGACTGCGCGTCCCCAGTAGGCTGCTTGCCAGAGACCTTTCTACGCTGCCTCTCAAGGGCAGCCACTCGATCAGCCTCTTTCTTCTCGATCGCGAGTCGTTCTTCCTCGCGCAGGCGTTCGGCCTCGGCGGCACTGTTATCCTCCTTGGGTTCCCATACTTGAGCACGCAGCTCGCGCGTAGAACGTTGCCTACGAGGGAGGCCCATTCCTGTTGTAGAGGTCGGAGGATAGCTAGGTGTGGCAGTAGGTTGCCGCGAGACGGCCGTTGGCGGACGATTGTCTGGTCCCGTCGATGGCGGGCGGTACCCGGGCTGGGGGCGAGGGAAGACATTCGATACACTCTGAGAAGGCGTAAGAGAAGGCGCTATGGATGGTGCGGGAATCTGGGGAACGGGGAATGAAGGGGCGGTGCTGGGCGTCTGCGGCGGGTACGTCGAAGCTGCTTGATAGGGGTACGAGCTTCCACCCGGACCGGCACTCGGTGCCCGCTTGTGTTTGAGCTCAGGAGGGATCGCAGAACGCTGACGCCAACCTTGAATAAGATCGGCTCGGCTGCCACCATCTCCCTCATCAGCAGGGGTGTGTGACCTTGGGGGATATGTAGGGCGCCCACGGGTGCTATATGGGTTGCCGAAAGCTTGGCTTGTCGGGCCCATAGGCGGCGAGTTGACGGGAGGCGACACATGCCCTCCAATTTCTGGCGTAAGACCTTTAGCCTCCTTGGGTTTGTCCGCGAACGTCATGCCACGTTCGCCCTCTAAGAATGCCGAGGCGCGGGGATTCGGTCGGTCCGCATAACTGTCTACGCGAGGCCGGTTGGGATTGAGGTTCGCTCGGCTAGCGCGCGTACGAGGTTGTAGGTACGAGGGGATCGCGGGAGCAGCCGGTGCCGAGGCCGGAAAGTGCTCAGGTGAAGAAAGTGTAAAAGATGGGATGTCCGGATCGGTCTCCGGTGCAAGATCGCCTGCCCCATTAGTCACACCCTGAGTATCAGGGGAGAGACCATAGATAGGACCCCCGACCTCAGACTCTTGTCGATAGGAGACAGAGGTGACGCTTGAGGAATCCCCGGCGTAGGGTGGGCGGTAATCAATCGACATCCGACGCCCGTACGGTCGACCACCCAGACCAGCCTCCGGGCGCGGACGAGAGGTACCACGACGGGTGCTAAATACAGGAGGGTAGTCGCGTTCGACAGATTCTGAGATGCCTAGCGGGGTACCATACGGGGGAGGGTCATCGCGCAAAGGATTCTTGTACATAATTTCCTCGGCATCGGATTCCTGTTGGGCATAAGCGCGAGTCTTGGGAATGAAGCGCTGGCGCGGATCGGGCTTGGACTCTTCACCCTTGGTCGACGTGGCCTCTGGTTCATTCAAGGGTTCATCAGGGTCGGAAGCCGACACAGCATGGCCACCTGGACGAGGAAGAGAGCCACTGGAGAAAGTCTTTCGGAGAGTAGACCATGCATGTTGGGTAACGAGCTTTATCCAGACAAGAGGTGCTGTAAACAGTAGCACAGCAAAGTCTGCTGCGGAAGTGAAAACGTCGACGCAAGAGTCGAGTGAAACGTAATACGGTTTGACGAGAGGTCGGATGACGTGGAGAAGAATTGCCTCTGACATCTTTTCAAAGAGTTAGATGTAGCATAGTGCTGAAGATAACAGGTTGTATACATACAGTGGCACGACCTAGGATGAGAAAAAGAACGAGGAACATCTTGATCTCGTTGTAGAAGGGGGTGAGAACGGAGATGGTGCGGTCTGCGATTGCCTCGGCACTTGTCCAGCAAGACTAGAGGCGCAATTAACGGAGTAATAGAGAAGAACATTGAGCTCAACGCACCCAGACAATCCAGCACGCGAGCATTCCCTTGAGCTCGCGCTTTCGCGCCTGCTTCGCCTTGACAGTGGGGTCGGCACCATTCTTGGACCTGCGAGACGGCTTGGCAGGCTTGAGTGCCTTGAAGGTGGTGTATACGTTCTGGAAGAGCAAGTAGGAGCTGACGACGAGTACGAGCATCTCTAGGTCATCAGAGGGGAGAAGTGGGAGCGGGAAATTTCAGCTGAGGAGAGAAAGCCCGAACATAACACGGACAAGCGCCAACACGTGCCCAGTGCACGCGCTTTGCCCACGTGATGTGGCGTCATCCGCTTCCCGCTATGATCTCGCTGCTCCTGCTTCCACTGCTTGCCAGCGCTGCCGTTGTCACCGAGCTCGTCCTCCAGGACAAAATAACACAGAATGTCCAGGATGCCAACGTCCCGGTGCGTATTCTCTCTAGTTCACCCCCCTGCCCTAACTCGGTTGCAGGTCACGCTTGGAGTCATGAGCAGATGCCCAGACGCGATGACTTGCGAAACCGTGTTCGACAAGGTCCTCGAACGCGTGGGAGACAAGG